GGGCTGGGCAGGAAAGATCCTGGAAGAAAGGGAGAGGGTGAGATGGCAGTACCCTTGATTCCCTAAAGGAAACCCGTCTGAGTTCCAAACCAGACTCCAGAGTTTGCTGAGCTCTTTCGCTGTGGATTTGCCACTGCACTCTCCCCAAACCTCCCCCTGTCTTCCCTTGTCTTCTGGTTGAATTCCACAAGTCGAGACTCCTGCAAACTGTAGCCCAAAGGATTATTCGATGGCTGGAGATAAGGCGTGACAGGCAGAGAGCAAGAGAGAGAATCCAGCCGGTGCACCAGACACTTTTGTTATCAAGGCTTCAGAGAGGCAGTTAGAGGGATAGAAAGATGCAAAGACCCTGACAAGGAGAAAGACCAAATGTTGAAAAGATAGAGAAAAGGCAAAGTGAGACAGACAGAAAGAAGATGGACAGACAGAAGGCAGTGAAGGGAGCAACGTTGAAAAGAAATCGGTGTGGCAGGGAAGGAGCATCCTGGTGAACTGTCAGACCCCAGCACCCAAGAGGTCAAAAGGAGGATATTCCTTTACTGTCAATCCTTCAGGCGCCACACTAAGACTCTAGAAGGCACTGAAGTGTCCCTGTATCTCCCAGGAAGTGATCCATTATTTTACACTGTAACCAGCAACCTCCACTCCTCCACTACCAGTCGTCTCTGTCAGCAAAGACATGCACAGGGAGGGCCAAGACCCGGCCTGGGTAACTGGGCAGGGGGTATGGAGGGACCGGCAGAGAGCTCTCCCCATGCCAGAGGCCAGTAGAGGGCACCTCAGACCGGGACATGTCTGCTAGTGGAAGGTAAAAGAAACCTCAGAAACCTGGGTAACTGGTCAGGTTGGCTAAAGATGATCTACATAAATAACTTCCTTGCACTTCATGCTTTGGACCAAAAATGGGACTCCCACCACCCTCCTGTGCACCTGCCCTGCCAAGACCCTGACCCTTCCTCTACCCCCAGAACCCTCTGCGATAGCATCAGCGCCGTCAGGCGTGGATGCTATCCCAATTCCTGTCCCAGGCTGCCACCTGCTGGCGGGGAGTGGCCTTGCAGAAACAGAACCCTGGGTTAAGCTGTTGCTTCGCCAGACTCTAGAAGAGAATTAGAAAAGAAAATGTGAAAATTTCCCTTTTATCTTGCTAGATGTCTTTGGGGCCTCCCCACGTAGGTGAAAGTCTCCTACCCTTCCACAGTCGTTCGTGAATGGTGCTGGGATCTCTCAGGACACAACAGAGACTGCAGGCAGCTCACTTTTCCCAAGTGGCTAAAGCTGTACTACCTGCAGGAGACTGAGCTGACCAAGGCGAGGGAAACAGCCAAGAACGAGATTAGTGACAGCTAGTATGAAAAGCACAAAAGCCAAAAAATATATGCCTGACACAGGTAGGTTTCAATGAAGAGTTGCTGAATGACGGAAGTACAGAAGTAGCACTGAGGAGTGACGAACTGAGTCCGGGAGACGCTGGGGAGGAAGAGAAGGAAACAGGGAAATCTTTCTGATTCTTTTCTCTTTTCCGTTTATTAACAAGTAGTAATTATCTTGGTAGGAGATTCTAACATTGTACAAGTTTAAAAAGGAAAATGTGAAGGTCCCCTTTCACCCGATTTCCATTCACCTTCCTTAAGTTAAACACAGCCAACATTTTAATGAGCATCATTCTTCACAATAGCCCTCAGCTGTGGCTACACATTGGCATCACGTTGGGAGATTTAGAAAATCCCATTGCGCAAGTTGTGCCCCAGACCAAACACCTCCGAATCCCTGGGGTGGGTTCCAGGCATCACCATTTTTTAAGAGGTCCCGAAGTGATTACGTTGTGCTGCTGGTGTGGGGAGCTACTGCTCCAGGCCCCTCTCTGCATTTGCATCCATGTCAGCAGCCAGCCATTCACACAAACACACTGTATAAATTCATATGATCAATACGTTGAGCTTTTTTTCTCCTCAGTTAACATGTCTCAGATACTCTCAGAGCAGTCCCTATGAATCTAATTATTTTTTTATAGAGGCATAATATGCATGTGCATATTTTTCAAGCCCTTCCCCTATTGATGAATATTTAAGTTCTTTATAAATTTTTCCTCACCATTGCAAACAATGCCGCAAAGTATTACATACAGTATATTTTTCTCACTTATGCAACTACTGTCTCAGGGAAGATTTCTAAAAGCAGACTTTCTGAGTTGATATGTATGTACATTTGTTACTTTGATAGATATTGTCAAAATGCTTTCCAAAAATACTTCACCAATTTACATTCCTCCAACAGTGTAAATGCTTAGTATCATTAATGTTTAAATTTTGCTAAGCTGATGGGCCAAAAGTAGTATTTCATTATAGTTTTAATTTGCCCTTTCCTGCTTACTTGTGAGATTATGCATCTCTTTATATATTTATTGGCCATTTGTATTTCTTCTGTGAATAAACTGCCATGTCTTTTGCCTATTTTCTTATTAGACTTTTAATCTAATTAGGATTAGAGGAAATTCTATTTCTAATAATATGACTGGCTGGACTCTGGTCTGATCTTTCTGAGTGCTAGTTAAAGTGCAAATGCAAATTATTTTAAAAGTGTTGAGGAGCTGGCTAGATAGCAAGAATTTACTAGGTTATAATCTAAGGGAAAGCAAAAACACAGGGAAGCAGAACAAAGAATCTGCTTTAGTCTGTGGACATTTGTTGAACTGGGTAAACTTGAGCTTCAATTTCTTCAGTCTTTATCTTCGGCAGAACCAAGGCGAGGAATTTAATAGGGGATTTTTTAAAAAGCCATGACACCAAAGGGCATGCTCTTAATGTAAGATTGAATCTGAAATAAATCCACCCTGCTGTCACCTCCAGAGGACTTTAAGGAAAGCTGCCTCAGGGCTAAACAGATGAAAAGGCTCTATCCCCCAGTCATAACCACTAGCTGATCCTTGAGCTGATCTGCAGCCCAAATTTATATTACCTTGGGTAATCCAAAACTCCCCAAGTCAGGAATTTAGTTTAAAGTGGTTCAGGACTGATAGTACTTCTAAGTACCTGGCAGAAGCAAACTCATGTTATCTGCAAAACAAACAAACAAACAAACAATAAAACACTTTTGTTCTTAGCCTCAAGGAATTGCCAACATAATTTTTCAGGGAAAATAAATATCTCACAGTAAAAAAACAAACAAATAAATAAAAACCCCATTAAACACAAAAGGGGAAAGGACTATCAGCAAGATCGAGCCCACCCAGATAATCCAGGATAATCTCCCAATCTACAAATCATTAACTGGATCTTATCTGTAAAGTCCTTCTTGCCTTGTAATGTAACAATTCACAGGTTCTGAGGACTAGGAATTGGACATCTCTGGGAGCTATTCTTTAGCCTACTGTAATAATGTCAGTTCCTTTCACAAAGTTTGAAATGATATAACTTTAAAATAATTAAAATAATTAAAAGGACAGATGTAACAACAGAATAGACACAACCAAAGAGAGAATTAGCAAACTGAATGACAGATCCAAAGAAATTTTCCAGTCTTGTTGCCATAACAAAATATCACATACTGGGGAACTTAAACAACAGAAATTTATTTTATCACAATCATTCAGTCTAGAAGTTCTGGATCAAGGTGCCCGCAGGGTTGGACTCTGATGAAGACTGTCCTTGGCTTGTGTATGGCTGTCTTTTCACTGTATCCTTACATGATCGTTCCCGTAGGGGGAGCATGTGAGTGCACACTCTGGTGTTTCTTCCTTTTCTTAAAATGACGACATTCCTATTGGAGCGGGGACCCACCACATGACCTCATTTAATTTTAAGTGTATTCATAAAAGCCCTGTCTCCCAATACAGTTATATTGAGGGGTTAGGGTTTCAACATATGAATTTTAGGGGGACAAAATTCAGTCCATAGCAGATCCCTTGCTCACACCATATGTAAAAGTAAACTCTAGATGGGTTAAAGACTATATATTAAAAACAAAACTGTAAGATTAATAAAAGAAATCAGATCTTTGTGACCTTGGACTGGGAAATTCTTTTAAATGAGACCCAAAAGCACAAAGTATAAGGAAGAATTTTGATAACTTTAATCACATCATCAAAATTCAGGATTTCTTTCAAGGAGGCTCACCACAGATAAAGCTAACAGAAAGGTTTATAGTAGAGTTGCCGTATCTAAAACCCATCTGACAATGGGTTTATTATCCAGAATATTAAAAAGAATTTCTGAAAAATCAATTTAAAAAAACAGGAAAATTCAATAGAACATTAAACAAAGGCTATGAACAGGCAATTCACGGAGGGGACAAGAATGGCTATCAGGTACATGGAGAGATGCCCATCTTGTTGATAATCAGAAAAAATCCAATGTAAAAGAGCAATATCATTTTATAGTTCTGTACCATCAGGTTGACAAAAATGAGAAGGCTGAATAAATACAACTGTTCAGGATGTAGGAGACTTTTATGCACTGCTGGTGGGTACACTGCAAAGTAGAAAGCAGCCTGATAGTACCTGGTCAATAACATATATGTGCCCAATGACCCAGCAATCTCAGACGTGCTCTCTTGCAGATCTACAACTAGATATGTACAGGGATGTTCACTGCAGCACTGTTTGCAGTGGCAGGAAGTTGGAGGCAACCTAAATGTCCATCGCTCAAAGAGTAAAGAAGTGAAATGTGATAGATGCACAATTGGAATTCTATGCAGTGGGAAAAATGGGGAAAAAAGGAAGAGGTAAAAAGGTATGTTCCATGTCTGTTATCAAGACAGCAAAGTTTTTCTAGGAGCCTCACTCATCAGACTGGTGCTTGCATTTTATTGGCCAAAATGGTGTACATAGTCACATTTAACTAAAAGGTGACCAAACAGGGGTTATAGGGGATTGTGTGTCTAATCAGTGATGACTATGACATAATCTAGTAGATTTCTTCCAACTGCTGCATAGAATTCCACAGTGGGCATTCACCACATTTTACTGTGATGGCTACAGGTACAGCAGCCATGTTGTGACCATGAGGAAAAGTCCAGAGACTTCCAGGGAAGGTTCTGATGTCATCAAGTTCATCAACACCAAAAGCTTCGTATCCATGAACTTTTCTCCTTGTTTAAGTCATTTGTGTCAGTTAGGGTTCAAGTGCGGACAACAGATATAAATCTGGCTCGTTTAAACATACGGATGGAGAAGCAGGCTCTAGGTCCAGGAAGAACTCCCAGCTTTGCAAGGCACATGACCTCTGCCTGTGATCAGGAAAACAACCGGAAGCTGATGAATCAGGAAGCTGCTCACCGGAGCTCCAGTGCATCTGCCGTGATCTGTGACAGCAAAACGGATGTCCCATGCATGCTATTTAGCTCTGTTCTAAATTTATATCTTGCGCAAGAGCAGAACCTAATTCACAGATTCCTAGCTCAAGGGAATCTGGGAAGTGTTTTAGGTTTCCAGCTCAGCAGTTCAGAAGAAACAGTAAAAAGAGTTTTGGATTAATGTGAAGCAGCCAGTCTATGGCAGCAACCGCAGCACTGAGGTCAGCTTTGGATTACTTACGACCAAAGGCAGTCCTACCTGGTACACTGAGCAGGAGACAAGGATAGGTCTTGAAACCATGGCATTTGGTGGGAAAAAAAGTAACGTAACTCTAAGGGGTTAGTTAAAATGCATGTAAATCAGCACTACTTTTTTCAATGAAATGTACTTTTTCAAGGCTATGTAAGTGCCAATTGGTAAAGAAAAGTAGGAGGGGAGTCCTGGCTGGTGCGGCTCAGTGGATTGAGTGCCGGCCTGTAAACTGAAAGGTCACCGGTTCAATTCCCAGTTGGGACTCATGCCTGGGTTGCCAGCCAGGACCCCAGGGGAGGGCATGTTTCTCTTGCACATCAATGTTTCTCTCCCTCTCTTTCTCTTTCCCTTCCCCTCTTTCTAAAAATGAATAAATAAAATCTCTAAAAAAGAGAAAAGTAAGAGGGGAATGAGCTATAGGAATCAGGAATAAAAGAGAAAAGCTAAATAAAGTAAAATAAAGCAAGAGAGAGATCTTGCTGGGAGTGGTATAAACAGAGGAATATGATTGGCTCAATATTCTACTCCTGAGATCCAAAAGCAATCCATTTAATATTAATTTAAAGAATAATATATTATTAAATTAATCATTATAAATAATTTAATTTGAATAATTTAATTAATATATCTTAATAGTAATACAACTTAAATATTTTATATTTATTTTTAAAATTATATTTTCTTGATTATGCTCTTACAGTTGTCCTGATTTTTCCCTTTTTGCCCCCTTCCACCCAGCACCCCCTGCTCCCTCAGGCAATCACCTCAACATTGTTCATGTCCATGGGTCATGTGTATTTCTTTGGTTACTCCATTCCCTATACTGTACTTTACATCCCTAGGACTATTCTGTAACTACCTATTTGTAGTTCTTAATCCTCCCACCTCTTCACCAACTCCCCCTCCTCCCTCCCATCTGGCAACCATCAAAATTCATTCCTTATCCATGATTCTGTTTCTGTTCTTGTTTGCTTAGTTTGTTTTTTAGATTCAATTGTTGATAGATATGTATTTATTGCCATTTTATTGTTCATAATTTTGATCTCCTTACTTTTCTTAAATAAGTCCCTTTAACATTTCATATAATAATGGTTTGGTGATGATGAACTCCTGTAGGTTTTTCTTGTCTGGGAAGCTCTTCATCTGCCCTTCAATTCTAAATGATATCTTTGCTGGGAAGAGCAATCTTGGCTGTAGGTCCCTGCTTTTCATGACTTTGAATATTTCTTGACATTCCCTTCTAGCCTGCAAAATTTCTTTTGGAAATCAGCTGACAGTCTTATGGGAACTCGCCTGTAGGTAACTAACTGCTTTTCTCTTGATGCTTCTAAGATTCTCTCTTTATCTTTAACCTTTGGCATTTTAATTATGATGTGTCTTGGACTGGGCCTCTTTGCATCCATCTTGTTTGAGACTCTCTGTGCTTTTTGGACTTGCATGTCTATTTCCTTCACCAAATTAGGGAAGTTTTCTACCATTATTTTTTCAAATAGGTTTCCAATTTCTTGCTCTTTCTCTTCTCCTTCTAGCACCATATGATGCATATGTTGGAACGCCTGAAGTTGTCCCAGAAGCTGCTTACACTCTCCTCACTTTTTAAAAAATTCTTTTTTCTTCTTGTTGTTCTGATTGGTTGTGTTTTGCTTTCTTATGTTCCAAATCATCGATTTCATTCTCAGATTCATCTGCTCTACTGTTGTTTCCCTGTGTATTGTTCTTTATTTCAATTAGTGTATCCTTCTTTTCTGACCACACCAAAACTAACCTGTTAAACTTAATATATCATAATTTTTGTACTCTTCCGAATCAGGCAATTCTTTATGTTTTTATTTCCCCAGAATATCAAATAAAAGGTCCAGGTGACTCCTGGAGCCTCCCTGCACCTCCCCCAGGCCCAGCTCTACTTAGTGAGGTGTCCGCACTCACACCCTGCCGCACCACCACCACCTCACCAAGTCATGCTCTGCCCAAGGAAAGCGACGTTGGGTGTTGGGAGACCTCATGACCTGTCTTTGACGGGTTTATTCCTGGTGCAGGTGTCTCCCCAGAAGGTGGAAGGTGAGCGTGTTTGGAGAGAAGGAAGGGTCTCACTACCGGAGCCACCTTTGTGGGGGAGGAGCTATGGTGACTTGGGACCCGCCCACTCCAGGCAGGACCTCAGGGTGAATCCTGGGAGGCTGCAGTGGAGAGCACCCGCCCTTCCTGGCCCCCGCCCTCACAAACCTGGCCTGATCCAGCTCAGCGCTGGGGGGTTGCAGCAGCTCTTTCCTTAAGCCCAGCCATCTGTCACCTGCGTCGTGTCCTGGGGAGAGAGAGTTCACCTCTGGCTCTCCAGAGACCCGGTGAGTGTGCCCCCAGGAGTCTGGGGGGTCCTGTGGGCCCCAGCAATGACTGCCTCCCGGGGAACCTCCAAACCCTAGGTAAGGACCCATGGGAAAGAGAAGGCCACAGCTCTTGAATCTCACTGGGGTTCTCACTTTCTGTGAGCCACTTCCACCCTTTGGGGCCACTTGTCCTCCCTGCCTCCACTTGTCCTCCCTCAAAGGTTGGATGGGACAGGATACCCCGGTGGGAAAAGGCTTCCCCTGCCCCGCGCCCACCAAGGGATGGGTGATTTGCTGCTGCTGGGACCCCTTCCTGGGATCCAGGGAGATACTGCTGCCCTTCTGTCTGTGTTGTAGATGCCAACCGCGTGAGGAGGGGGTCTGGCCTTCTTGCCCCCAGGTTGGAAGAGGAAGAGCCGCTACTGTGGAGGGGAGGACTGGACACGTCCGAGGCACCGCCCTGCCCCAGCAGGGAGATCCCTGCCCCAGACTGCAGGCCGGGGGCCCTGTACTGGGCCTGCGTTCGCAATGACTCTGCCCAGCTTCAAGCCGTGCTGGATGATGGGGTCTCCCCAGAGGAGGCCACCCAGGTGGATGGCAACGGGAGGGTGAGCCACCCCAGGGGCTTGCCAGGGAGGCTGGGACAGCTCCGTGTCCCACCACACCTCACACAACTGAGAGTTTCAAGGCCAACACCCACGGGCTGCGTCCTCAGGAAGGAGGGAGCGGTTGACAGTGGGTCTTCACAGGGGCTGGGATATCTCTGGGACAATGTGGGTTTGGAGGGCACAGGAAACCCAGCTGCCCCTCCCCCAGACAGGCCTCATGGTTGCATGCTACCGTGGCTTTGGGAGTGTTGTGGCCCTGCTCAGCCGCTGTCCTTTCCTGGATGTGAACCAACAGGACAAAGAAGGAGACACAGCCCTCATGCTGGCTGCCCAAGCAGGTGCGAGGCTGCTGACCCCACGCTCCACCCATCCCCCGCTTCCGGACTGGGCCACAGCTCCACACTCCTTGCCAGTTCTCCTACCCCAGGTCTGCTGTGCTGGGTGGAGGGTGGATTTGAGGCTTCACCACCCCTTTCCTGGGGATCCAACATCTGCCTTTGGTGCTCTGCAGGCCATGCGTCTCTGGTGAGTCTCCTGCTCAACTACTACGCAGGCCTGGACTTGGAGCGCCGAGACCAGCGGGGGCTAACGGCATTGATGAAGGCCGCCATTCGGGGCCGCTCTGAATGCGTGGCTGCCCTCCTCATGGCAGGTACACAGGGCCTGGATAGACCAGGATGTATGGTCTCCAGTCCCTCCCCCAGGTCACCTCAGTAGACGCTTAAGTCAGCTGTCATAGTTGCACAGAGGAGAGAGGTAGAGGTGGAGGATCAATCTAGGCTGACTTCCTGGATGAGGAGAGTGTGCTTGGGTTTTCACAGTCGACAAAGTCCAGCTACAGACAGCTCTATTTACTGTGTTAATGGAAGTCCCAGAAAAGAAAGCCTGAGATGACCTAGACCCTCTGGAGAACCTGACAGCAGACAGGATGGTATCTGGAAGCAGACCCTCAGGTTCTCATCCTGGCCCTGCCACTGGCCAAGGGACGGGGCAGGCTGATGGCTTCCCGCTCTTGGCCTCACCACTGTAGTGAGGCTGTTGGCCTTCTCTGGGATGATTTCCAGCTCTGACAAGCCAGGGTTCCAGGACTGCAGCGATATGCAGTTGGAACGTGTGGCTGTGTGGAGTGGTTCTGGACTGAAGTCCACGCTCTCTGCGGAGCTGAAGGCCCTCGTTTTTTCCCTGGGTGGGGCTGTCCTCTCTTGATAACTCCGGGGACCCCAGCCTCCAGCTTTCGCCTTCCCCATCCATCAGATGGGTTTTGGGGAGCGAAGGGAGGAGCTCTGCACCTCCACCTTTGACTCAGAGAGACCGCTACCCCCTTCCCCAGGATGAGAGGGTTGTAATGATGAAAAGAAGAACCGGCAGGACCCCGGAGTTTGCGCCTGGGGTCTCCCCGTTCTTGGGCAACCTGCACACCACCCCTTTGGTCAGTTCCTTGGTTCAGGGGGCTCCCTATTCTGTCCCAGGTTTGGAAACCCCCAGTGTGTTTCCCTGAGTGTTTTTCCCTCTCTGTACTTCAGTTTTCTTCACCGGTCTCAAACAGGAGGCTGGGATCTGGGACTGGTCCTCACCCTGGGCCCCCAGACTCCAGCTGCAGCAGGATGGGTGGGGCCCTGGTTTTGAGTTGAACCCGGATCAATCCCGCTGCTACAGAATTAGCCCTTGTGCCAATCACCAGCCCCCATCCCAGCCCACGCCACCCCTGTGCGTCCTCCTAGGTGCTGACCTGACAGCAGTAGATCCTGTTAGGGGCAAGACGGCCCTGGAGTGGGCAGTGCTGACCGACAGCTTCGACACCGTGTGAAGGATCCGGCAGCTGTTGCAGCGGCCCCAGGTGGAGCAGCTCAGCCAGCGTCACCGGCCGGAGTGGCCAGCCTTGCCCGGGCTTGTGGCCCGGGCCCAGGCCCAGGACCAGGTTGCCCCATCTCTCCTAGAGAGATTACAGGCCGCCCTGAGCCTCCCCTTTGCCCAGTCTCCTCAGGAGGGGGGTGTCCTGGACCACCTTGTGACCGTCACTACCAGCCTAGCCAGTCCCTTCCTCACCACTGCCTGCCACACCCTGTGCCCTGACCACCCACCTGCGCTGGGAACCCGAAGCAAGTCTGTGCCAGAGCTGCTGGGCACTGCTCCTCCCCCGCCCCTGTCCCCCCAAGCCCCCCAGGCAGTCCCCGGCCCCCAGGTTCTCATCCCTTACCACAGTCCTCAGGGTGTGCTGGGCATGTGCCCTCCGTGGCTACAGCTCAGGGACAGTACCAGGCCCAGGCCCCACGTCCCCAAGATCCTCCTCTCCAAGGCGCCCTCACGTCCCAGCCAACACAAGCCAGAGCCCAGGCCTGCAGGGCCTTGCGGGCTGGCCCTTCCTGTCTGGCCACACCAGGACCTCATGATGCAGAGGAGGAGGAGCCGTGAGGAGGAGGCCAGGCGTGCACAGAGCCAGGGGAAGGATGGCTAGGTTGAACTGCAGGCAGGGAATTGGCCCCTCTCTTAGGTTCCTCTGCCCTGTGGAACCCCTCTGCCTGTCATCCTGTGTACAGGGTTATTCACGCAACGTCGTTCGCGACAGTGAAAGAGGGTACACAACCTAAGCCTCTATAGGGGACTGGCTGAAGTGATTCTGGGCACAATTACCATACACCCATACAATGTATTCTATGCAGTGATAAAACAGGAGTAAGGAAGCTCTTTATGTTCTGATATGAAACTATTTTCCAGATGTGTGAGTGAAAAATAACCAAGGGGTAGAACAGAGTGTATGGCATGCTGCCATTTGTCAAAGTAAAATTGGCACAAAGCTAAATTTGACTAATACAAGTATCAAGTGAGTACCCAAATATATTTCACTACTTAATGAGTGAACCAGCAGGATGGAGCAAAGGAAGAAATGAAAACCATTATTGATAGTCAGTGGAAAAAAGAAAACTGGAATAAGATTGCGAAGATGATACAAAAAGTTAATTCCTGACTGGCAATAAAATCATAACTTTTTTCTCTACCAGATAATAATTTGCTACTTATTGATCTTCTACAGGTTAACCTCTTAGTGTTACAGAGTCTGGGCACCAATCAAAGTACCACATTTTGCCATGCATAATATACACTTTTTTGCCAAACTTTTTGAGGGAAAAATAAGGATGCACATTATACATGCATGGTACTAATTCCATATCTAAATAAATGTTCTTAATTCTTTTATTTATGCTTATGTTAAAAATGTAACTCTGTATGCAAAATAATATCCTGGAATACGATAATCAGTTTTGCTTCTAAATATAAATAAATAGATAGAATTAAAAAATTAAAAAGGAAGATTTTTTTCCTGAAAACTTGGGCCAAAAACGTAGGTGAGCATCATACACGGGAGCACACTATACATGGCAAAATGCGGTAAATATTATGTCAAACAAAGTGACTTCCCCTGGATGACCCATAGGTGGGGTTATTAGCCAATGGTCTAAACTATCTCTGACAAGGGCACTTGGTAATTTTGTTGTGTGTTTTACTTACAAGTCTTGGATATTTTTTCTTAACACATTTGTTGCATAAATATATTTGCTTGTATATTTGTAATAATAAAAGCAACCACTTATAAGGCACTTACTATATACATTTAACACTCCTCATAGGATTATGAGGAGTTTCTTTGAGGACATGAACTACAGAGGGTAAGGAACTACCTAGTGTCTCACAGCTAGAAAATGGCAGAGCTCCTGAGTGAGAGCCAGTTGTGGAAGCCAATCTCTTTCTCTTTTTAAAAAATTTTATTTATTAATTTTTAGAGAGAGCGAGAGACATCGATTTGTTGTTCCCCTTATTTATGCATTATTGGTTGCTTTTGATCCAGTATGTGCCCTGACCGAGGTGTAACCTGCAACCTTGGCCTATAGGGACGACGATCTATCCAGCGGAGCTTCCTGGCCGGGAGGCCGGCGGCGTCACACCAGCCCCCTGCTGTCTCACTGGAATCTCCCTGGAAGGAACCATGGTGATTTTCTTGGGAAAAAGACTGAACAGCTCACCAGGGGTAGAAGGGAGACTTTTCATTGGCTACCTTTTTTGAAACTTTTGACCCTTAAAAAAAGCAACTTTATTTATTTAGAACAGTCTTAGATTTATAGAAATGTTTTGAAGAGAGTTCCCATATACCCTATACCCAGTTTCCTCTGTTATTAACATGAGTCTAGTACATTTGTTACGATTAATTAATCAATTTTAATACATTATTATTAATAAAGTTCCAGGCTATATTTATCTTTTTACTTAGTGTCCTTTTTCCATCCAGAACTTCCTCCAGGATCCTACATGACATTTGGTCACCAGGTCTCTGTAGACTCCTGCAGGCTCTGGCAGCATCTCAGGCTTCCCTGGTGTGTGAGGACCTTGACAGTTTGAGGAGCCTGGTCAGGTGTTTTGTAGAAGGTCCCTCAGCTTGGATTTGTGTGATATTTTTCTCATGGCTGGACTGGGGCTTTGGGTTTCAGGAGAAAGACCACAGAGGTGACATGCCATTCTCATCCCGACAATCACGGCTGAGGTGACCTTGAGCCCCTGGCCTCAGGTTTCAGTGTTTCCCAGGTTTCTCCACTGAGAAGTTACTCCCCGCCTCCCCTGGCTTCCTATACTGTGCTCTTTGGAAGAAGCCTTGGCCCGAAGCCCACACTAAAGCAGCGGGGAGTTACACGCCATCTCCTTGGGGGTGGACTAGCTACATAGATTATGGATTTATTTGAAATTCTTCAAGAATGCTTTGACTTTTTAGTCATGTATTACCAAATTTTCAAAAATTAAAAAATAAATCTGCTTTTTGAATCGGGGGAAACGCGCACGCGCGCATATACTCAGGTGAAAACAGCAGATAGTGTGTGGTTTCTCTGGAGTGTTCTGAAGGCAACCATGGGGGACTGGAATGGGTTCAAGGCAATGTTGCCATTTCTCACTTGTGTGATCCCTCAGAAAGTGCTTGATTTTCTCTTACCCTCTCATCTGTTAAATGGGTGGAAACAGGGCTATGGAATGCTCCGTTAGATGAGGCGGGTAAAAGGCTCTGTAAAGTGTAAGGTGCCACCAAGAGTTGAGGTGCTACGGGAGAGCCCTGGGGCACTGGATTTGACTGAGCTGCTTCTGGGCCCCTGGGGTGGAGCGAGAGTCCTTCCCTCCACACCCACTGCTAAAATCAAAGCCCCCCAACCCGGCCCTGGCATTGGGCATGGCAGACAGGGAAAGAGATGGCATCTATGGCTTGGAACAGCTTGGTGGTTACACGCTTCCATCTAGAAGTTGGCCTGTGACCTTGGGCCAGTTATCTATCTTTCCTGAAGCTCAAGGCTCATATGTAGACTGGAGGTAATAAAAACACGTCACCAGGGCTGTTGTGAGAATTAAATGAAATAATGAAGCACTTTGCACTGTGCCTGGCCTGATTACTATCATCATCATTCTATTTAACTCTCACAACTTTTGTTCTTTCATAGTTGAGGAAACCGGAGCTATGAAGGCTAAGCAACTTGCTTAAGGCCACCAGTTGGTAAGTGGCTAAGTGGCCCTCGGAGTTCAAGTCTGGGACTCTAAAGCTGGTGCCACTTCCACTGCAGCACGTGGTCTCTGCTTACAGCCTAGGTTCCTCTGGCTCTCTAAGCTTCTCCCTCCTGCTTCCAATCGGCTTGAGTTTTACAGGGGACCAGAGCGGCCACAGCATCCTCAGGGCCAGAGAGTCAACCTCTACGGCTGCTTCTCTCCTGACTGGCACAGGGTGGGCCGCAGCCAGGAGGCTGGCCTGGCAGGAGCACCTGGGCCCCGGGCTGGACAACTCCTTCCTCTCCGCCTTGCAGAACACCTGCCCCTCCCTCCCAGCCATCTCCAGGGCCACAAGCATCCCAGGCTTGCAGTTTGGCCTTTCCTCCTCTCAGGCCCGGCAGCTTCCCTCTAACCCTCTAATAGCTCTTGACGGCCTTGCAGGCTCCCGGAGAGGAAAGGGGCCTATGTGGGCTACTCGCCTGCCCTGTCCAAAGTCAGCCTCCCTACTAACATCCAGCCTCTCCTCACCCCCGGCCCAGCTCCTGAGGCGACCCAACCGAGTTCATATCAGCAGAGGCCGAGGAAGCCAGGACGAGTTCCCTGGCTGTGCAGCACACAGGTCACAGCGAAGCTGCCCTGCTACCATCAAAAGCTCTGGGTTTGAATCCTGGCCCTGCCTCTTACTGTCTTTGCTACCAAGGACCTCTGTATGTAATTCCCAGGGTTTGTGTGCGAACTGAACAGTGAGAGGTATGCAAAGCATTGAGTGCCACCTGGCTCGGTGCCCAGCAGCTTTTGTTACTGTGCCGAGAGGCAGGGTGAGGAAATGCCAAGGGGACAGCTCTGTGGAGGAGGCCGGCAGATGTGTCCTTGGAACCCCGTGGCCTCCTCTGTGATTCTAGGACACTAGTCTGGTAGCCTCTGAAACAAAAACACATAGTTATCCAAGACAGCCGGGGTCTGCACAGCTCTGCGCCCCCAGCCCCAGGCCCCCCTTGGCCCACTCCCGTCCCCACAGCACCGATGGCCCCACCTTTCTCCCTGTGGGTGCGTGTGTGTCCACCCCCCGCTGTGGAGCCGGGGGGCTCCTGCGGAAGGGACTGCAGGGCTGACACATACTGGGATGTTAGCCAGGCCTTGGGGACTCCTTGGGAACCTCCTCCTCACTCCTGTGTGGGCAGAATCCACATCAGTCTCCTAACCCCTGGAGCAGGGTCCAGCCCATTTAAGGTCAATAAATGTGTATAGAAAATAACTAAATTCAGGCCCCACCAAGGTCCAAGCTGCTTAGAGGGGCCTTTATCATCCCTCCCCCGGGGCTGCCCTTGTTCCGGAAGTGGCAGTGTCCCCAGTTACCCCAGGAAACCCCAGCTGGGTCAAGAGAAGAAGGCAAGGGAGCATGCATATGTGGAAAGGACAGGGACAGGTAAGGACTCGTTGGTTTGTGTCCCCTCTTCCCCAAACAGGGGCATCCAGACAGGATTCTGCCCCCTCCGGCAGCCATACATTCTAAATGGTTGAAAGCATCCAGGCACCTTCCACCACACCCGCCAGCGGGCCGGCCGCCCCCTCCCCACACCCTCCCCTCCGTCCTCCCGGCCACCCTCACCGTGACCTCTCAGGACCTTTCCCCTGTCGGGTCTCAGCCAGCTATGCTGAGGAACAGCTGGCCAGGGTTCGTGCAGAGACAGACCTGCTCACTTTTCTCCTCCTCTGAGGGACCACGCATTTCATGGTTAAGGAAGGTAGCAAATCTGAAGGGAGGACTTGATGGTAAGGCCTGGGGTTGAATGGACTCTGGAACTTTGACTACAGTCACAAAGGCAATGTCACATGTAGACACACAGTCAGCCAGGATCGCACAAGGACCATTGGGCTCATAGGCACAGAAGTGCGCACAGGCCCATCGGCCCATGAACTCCTAGTCCCATCGAGAGAGGC